AGGATACGGAGGATCTCGGGATCCCGGGATCCGCTTTTTCCCCCTTGAGTGAAGCCCAGTGGAGAAGAATCGTGCTCGAATCGCTCGGGACGAAAACTCTCCGCAGCTTCAAAGACGCGCGGGTCATTGAAAACCCCAGTCCAGCCACATATGATTCGCCAGCCGGCTGGCACAACGACTTCACCAACGCGATAGGAGGACAGGCGAGGATTAATCCCAAAAGAAACGTGAGTGGCAGGCGGGCGCATCCGAAGAGTTTCGTACAAGACACACTCAGTGTACTTCATGGAACGGATAGCTTCCCATATGGCATCAGATGAACTGCTGTCCCACTTGTCCGCGCAAAAGCGAGTTGCCAGTGCCTCGACCTCTTGTTGAACAAGTTGCTTCACCTGGAAAGTAGTATTATTTGAGCAACGAGTGACAAAAAAAAATGACTCTTACCTCAGGGTGGGTTCCGAGGAACGCCAAAATCCATGCCAAGGTGATGCGAACCGGCTCAAATCCCGCAGCCCAGAGCATCAGCAGGTTGTCAACAATGTCATCTTCGGGCAGATCACTTTTCGCAAGTCGGAAAAGTACTGACTCGGCGTCGTCGCCATTGTTCGCCCGGCGGCACCTGCGAACTCGAAGCCGAAGACGCCGCTCTAACTCCTTCTTGGCTTGTGTGCCTTGGAAATACGTGGTTCCAGGAATATTCCACTTTCTCGTGGCCTTGAGCCCCGTGAAATGCTGGTGGAATAGCCTCAGGTACTCTTCTAGCTCAACAGCAGTCAGCTGCGTTCCCAAGATTATCACAGAGACCGCAGCCAGCCCAAACTCCTTCAACACCGATATGCATTGGCCAGCGCCACACCCATCCAGCCGCCGCGCGTAAGCAGCACTCAAGGTAGAAAGGGTGTACATGTGCCGGCGGAAGGAATTGAAGTCCATGGCATGAACAACTGCGAGCTTTCGAGTCTTGTGCTCCTCGCCAAAAAGGAACTCAAGGCTGCGTTCGCCACGCAGAAACCGCTTCTGGGTGTTGGGAAAGCGGTCAAGCACCGACCCGACATCGTCAAAGATCTGCCGTATCTGATCAGGACTCTGAACAACAAGATGCATGACACCATTTTTCCTGAACGCATAGTTCCCAGAACCCGAGTGCTTCACAAGAAACGCAAAGGGGTCCTGACTCCAGGTGGCATTAGAGACAATGGGAACGGTTGGCTCCAAGTCCAGTCCAGGACTTGACTTCCTCTTCTCGCGATGGAGGGCGAAGAACCACAAGCCACACAAAAAGCAGCCCAATGCGATCAGTGCAGCAACCTCAAGATTGTTCGAACCTTCAGATGTGATGGAAGTCCAGTGACCTTGCAGGAGGAACACGACAGCGCAGGTAAACAGAGACAGCAAGACGAATAAGAAGAGCTGGCCCAAGATAGTTGGCTTGAGATCAAGCATGCTTCCAGCAAAGGGGATGATTTTCACAAAGATGAGAAACGGGTCAGGGTGGAGTCTTGAAAGAGAGAGAGAAAGAGAATGAGAGAAGTCGAACGAAGAAGGAAGAACGACAAAAACGCAGTGTAACTCTTCCACGGGCCACTTGTTTTTCTCGTATTCGTGTAAAGAAAGAATGAATGGATGAATGAATGAACAAAGAAAAGAAAAGAAAAGAAAAAGAAAAAAAAAGAACAGAAAAGAAAAAGAAAAGAAAAGAAAAAAGAAAGAAGGAGCGACGAAAAACGCTCCTTCATTTTCTTCTCTTTTCTTCCTTTTTCTTCAATGGAGGTTGATAGTCCTGTGCAGAAAAGCAGGGAGGGTGTGAGGGTGTGGGTGTGGTGTGGGTGTGGGTGTGGTATGAGGGTGTGAGGGTGAGGGTGAGGGTGTGGCTGTAGGTGAGGGTGGGTGTGGGTGGGTGTAGGTTTCAGTATGGGTCTGGTGTGAGGGTGTGAGGGTGTGGGTGTGGGTGTGGGTGTGGGTGTGGGTGTGGGTGTGGGTGTGGGTGTGGGTGTGGGTGTGGGCGTGGGTGTGGGTATAAAAGAAAAAGAGGTATCCACACCCACACGCATTCACACCCACACCCACACCCACACACATTCACACCCACACCCACACCCATTCACGCCCACGCCCACACCCACACCCCACCCCTGTTGATTAGAAAATGGTAGCTTAAAATATTCTGCCATGACTAATCGTTGTGTTAAAAGTACAAAGAG